TTCTTTAAAGCAAAATTTGTTCTATGCTTTGGCATTTGTTCAATGCAAATGGCATTGTCTTGTTTAATGAAATACTGGAAATAATAATCCAGACTGAAGCAGATCTCAAAACATGATATTATGCACCATATTGTATTAGATGCTTTGTACTGTTTGTCTGTTTTAAAGATTTCCCTACCTCCACATGTAGAGACAATTCTCATTATGCTGTGGGTTCATGTTCTGAACAGGAACTCTCTTTCTGTCCTTCCTGCATTCCCAGCACCCTTCTACTGGGTTCAATAATAGATAAATAAACAGTTTATGCTCTGATTTTTTTCTTAAGCTGGGAAGATTTCTATTTCAGAATATCCCATTCTATAAATCAGATAATGTGTATTAAGAAGTTTGTAAATGAGACTCCTGAGATCTTTCCTTTGCCCAAATAAGTGTTGCCACTGCTATTCTCTGGTGATATTTGAATTTTTCTGGGAATAAGATTACACAGTCAGAATACACAAGCTTTCAGAAAATACCTATTTAGAAATATTCTATATGCTCTATTTGAAATAGAAATCTCCTATGACTGACCTGGTGATACAGACAGAGGGTATAACAATGCTAGATTTCTTTGCCTGCCTGTAATGCAGCAGGCATATTAGCATTAGTCCCATCTTCAGGCCACATAAGAGAGAAACTCTTTGCTAACCAGCTAACAAAACATCATGCCTTCTACTTACTAGCAGGCAGGGAAGACAATATCAAGATTTTCTCAAGCATATATGACTAATTAGCTTGTTTTTCATCAGAAAAGAAGAACAATGTTTCAGAAGAGTTCACAGATCCCCATAAATGGAAAGTCCTGTTGCAGAATGAGTCAGCAGTTCTTAAAACATCATCCTAAGACACTTTATTACTAATATTTGGATCACTAGATCCAACTTTGCCAACGTGCAACCAAGTACCTTGAAATGCCACATTTAGGCAACCGTGAATGCTCTAGTCTCTTTTATTTACAAAACTGCAAATCAGCATACTTATTTGAATGGAAATAAAACAGTAGTAAACTTTGAAGAGTAAAGAGTCTTGGGAAGAAGTTCACCTAGACAATTTTTACAATAATAAAATCAGTAGAATAGGAAATCATTATATAAATGAGTGGATATAAATATTAATCCTTTTTAAAAAATAATTATAAGCACTTGTGAGAAATTTTAATAGCTTTCCTCTAATCCCATTCTAGAGGCCAATTACAGAAAAACATTTTCTCCCCAGTGAATTTCTTTGAAACAGTATCAAGATGAATAAAGTAATAAACCTCAAAGGTACCTTGCAACCAGTCCAAACTAGCATCCATGGTCATAATTTAGTTCTAACTAGACAAAATCACAAGTAATTTTTTATGAAGGAGAACAACATTTCTGAAGGTGTATTATCTCACTTAACACTGTCATTAAAACTCTTGCTTTATATTTATTGGATGGTATTATAAAGTAATGAATTTGCTGGATTCTGGAAACACTTTTATCCTCTATACTTAATACCTCTAGATCTTGGTCTTTGCACCTTTTCATAGAATTGTCACCCCTTCCCTTAGATCTAATGGCAATCATCACTTTTACCTTTGCCTGAAACCAGCCACAAGCTATTTCATGGTAAATATAAATCAATATTAATGACCAAAATTGAGTAGCTTCACCATAAAAGTTAAACCCAGGTAACTAGTTTCCTCAAAAAAGCCAAGATCAAATATTTCTCTCAGAGTTACTAAGCCAATAAATCTAATTTTATTGCTCCATAAATTCTCACTGAAGTGGGATGGAGTGCAGTTAAGCTACCTCACAACAAAATAAGAGAGCTGAGTTAGAAACCTTATTCCAGGTTTCTGATGAAGGCTTCATCCCATCTGATATGTAGTAACTGTGTAAGTTTCCAACCGGGGAATGAAGTGTGACCTGAAATGTATCATCAGCCTTATTTAGCCATATTAGTTAATGTCTTTGGTGGATCATTAAGCAGAGGTTTACTAAAACTGCACCAAACTGGAGGTATAATGCTGCTAATTGATAGAATTGCTCAGATGCATATGAAGTAAATCTGAACCACAAATCAGATTCATGCAATGACTTGCGTTAATTCAAGTTGCATCTTAAACTGTGCTATGCCTTGATTTACTACTACAGGTTATACAATATGATTAGGCTGGACCAAAAAAAAGCTGGGGTGGAGCAGGTATTTTCTTATATTAAGCTGGCTAACTCAAGTGAGGTTGAACCATCAATGAAGGATGGTCAACTTCGTTTTCATTTTAAAACTTTTTAATTTTAAAATAAGTTATTTAGCTTCAAGTTTGGAAAGGGACCTGAGGCTGAATTTGACCTGGTAAAATTTAATATGTCTTGTCAGCCCTGCCAATATATCCTGAGCTGGTTAGCTTCCTTTAGCCAGCCTAAATGAAGAACTCCCCTTTTTCAAGCATAGGTATAATATAAAACTACTGCAAATTCCTCATTCCTGACAACATCAAACAGCTACCTTGTTTCAGCTAGGACTTACAACATCACATAGTCTTCAAGTTACCACACAGGTGGAAATAATTTCACCAAGTATTTCCACAAGGTAGAAGTCACCTCAGGCACATATGATTGCACTATAAGGACACTACAAGGTAAACAATACACAAACAGCTTTGACTTTCATTATTCAAAGATCCTATGATACCTAGAAATTATAGGCTTACATTACTGAACAACAGAGATACACAACACCCTATTCTGAAAGACTGTGAGATATCAAATTTCAAAATTGCAAAATTACACATTTAAAAATTATTTCAAATAATTTTAATAGATTTTTAATATACTGATGCTAGATTTCTTCCTCAACAACCACTACAAATGACCTCACTGTAATTAGGAAAACCTGAGCTGGAGTGTTGTCTGTCACAGACATGCAGTGAGCTAAGCCCATGTTCCAGAAGTCCCAGGAATGAATGGGGAAGAACTGAATGTGACCACATGCCACTGTCCTTCCTTGTTATAAACACAGTATTTCAAATTAGGACATGGATTGGAACGTTGGTCTAGCTTGGTTTTCCAGGTGCCTGCAATTGTAAGGGGCTGTACAATCAGAAATAGACAAGTAAAACCATTCCGTGTTACCAGCAAACCCTCCTTTTGTCTCCGGAAGGAAGCTAGGCACTCTGGTGGCATATATAATGACAGAAAGCTTTTATGCACAGGAAGCTCTGAGTTACTCAGGCATAGTAGCTTTTTCTGCTAGCTAAGCCTATAGAAGAAAAATGTCATTTATTACTGATTGGTCTACAAATAGGATAGGAATAAAAAAAGATTGTGAAGTCTTCAAACTCTTAACAACTCTAAAAGAGGGCAATTGATAAATATTTGTCCTATGAAGCCAACACAGATATAAGGAAAAAATACTTATTCTTTTTCTGGAAGTTCCACCTGTCTTTTGTGGATTTCCATTTACCAATAATGCCAAGACATCTTGTACTTAGTGTTCGTAAGAAAGCTCATCTGAGCATGTGAGATGTTGAACCTTGGTTAATTCACATGCATATGATCATCTAATTAGGTCGACTGGCTTAGTTTGCTACTTTGATTCTACGGAGACTTCTTTTTTTGGGGGGGGGAGGTATGTTTCTTGACTGCTCCACTGACACACATTAATTAGCATTCATTTTTTCTAAGAAGTCACACTGGATAGCAACAGCATTGAATTTAGCACATGATAACCTAGAGATATCCAGAACATTCTTAGAACATTTAATTCAGTGAAGTTTAAACATTCATTTGAAGGCCTGTGAATGAAATTCTTTTTTTAATACTCTGTGCTAAGGTCATATTTTTGGGGACAAAGAACAAGAATATTCTGCACTAAAAAAAACACCAAGCAGCTTTTTGTTTGTTGAAAGACTTAGCTCATTCTGTACTGTCAACTCTGACAAGATTACTAATTCTAACCACTGATCTATATTACTGCATAAAGTACCATGTCCCCCTTCCCAAGCAAATAAATAAACAAATATGTTACCGAGGAAACAATTTGGAGGAATGGCCAGTGATTTAAAGATCCAAGCATCATTGTCATGTTATCATAAAATGCTTTAAATGGTGGAATTATGTTTCTTTTATGGATCTGGATTTGAACAGATAATGGCACACCTAATAGTTTGTAATGGCACTCCTACCTGCCAGTCTCATCTTGATTTTGAAGGTAGCAGTTGATTGAGTTGACTAAAAAGCTAAATAAACGACCATATAGAGATTTTGCCAAGAGATCCCGGTAAAATTCTGCAATCTCTATAGTGTGCCTCCGTACAATCATGTCTCCTAAGAGAGAAAGCAGAAAATGTAGATGAAAGCATGCTGTAAAGCTCGCTTTAAGTAATTTTAGTTACAGTAAGTCCTTCCACCCTTTTTACTTCTCCTTTGTCAAACATATACCTGGTGCTAGTTTTTTTTCTGAAGCCTTCAGTGAAAGATGAGGACTGTCAACACTCGCAAGATCTTCAGTTTGGAAACGTACCTTTGTACTTTTTTCAGTAGAAACGGGTATGTATGTGTACCACACAGAACTAGCATTCTACTGAAAAGAACTTTCCCAAAACTTTTTTTTTTTTTCAGGACACTCCTGTTGACTTTAATTCTTAGTTTTAATATCTAATCTGTTATCTTGACACACTTTTGTAAGATTAATCAAATTAGGAGTCCATCAGCATCAGACTGCAAAATTGCTTTGCTCCATATTGCAAACATTTCTAATTCTGTGGCCCAGTCTGACTTATTGCATGGCAGATAATCTGACACATTCCTCAGAGAGAAAATTTACAAGACCATACAAGAAATAAGAAACAAAAATTATCTGCTTTTAAAATTCTCAAATCAGAAGGATCAAAATGCCACCAGGTCTGATCTATGAGAATGTAAGCTTGGAAAAGATTACCTTTAAAGTACTGAACATCAGTTGTTAAGGCTGAAGCAAGCTCATCTGGTGAAACCTGCAGCATCCCTGCCACTGAAATGAAAAGAGAATTTAAAGAAAGCCTGATTTGTGATCTACTGCATATTTTATTTTTTATAACAGATTTTCTTATGTAGATGCTATTTTTTAATAGTGAAAGAACCCACCAATTAAAGAAAAGAGTGCTGTCACAGGAGTAATCAAAATTAATGACCATACAAAATTGGATTACTATAATCAGCACTTTGTGAAGTTTGAACACATCTGTATATTACATTACAGCTTTCTTTCCTCTTTAAAGATTACTCAGGGCTTTCCCCAGGGCTTGACAGACTTTCTCTCGTATTAGAGTTAAGGTATGCTTCTTATTGACATTCTCTATCCATAAGCCACTTTGAGGAGATTTGTTAGTGACCAAGAGGGCAAACTTCAAAGCACAAAAACAAGAGACCCTTTTAAGACATAGATTTTGAATGTAAGGAATTCAATTCAATGCAAATTGTTCAGCTGTTGACAAGCAGCACAAGAGCATTTTAAAAGAAGACTGCTCAAAGTGCACTGTACAATTTCTTTTGGCAAATGGTAGCATTAAATATAACATTGAATTAGATAATTTGCAATATTAGTATTTTATTTTGTCCCATAAAAATCTGTAGTTTATAAAACATCCAAGTCAATTGGATACTGTCTTCTCACAGTAACATGGATTTTCAGAAGTCTTTTTTTTTGTCTCCCTGGAACTGTGTTTCCATCTGTCGGTGGATCAGTGCAAGTGCCCTGATTGCAACGCTCCAAGGTCATGTCCTACTGACCTTGTTCCAGTAGCTGCAGGTCTGACACGAATGCTGTCTCAGCGTCTGTCAAAGCCGTAAAGCGAATGTCTCCAAGATGCAGAATTGCTGAGAGAATTACAAACAGGTTCTCCACCTCCTGCACATATTTTATGCAGAATTAAAGATAAAGAAGAGATCTGTTGGGCACACCAGTGAAAGGCAATGCTTTATAAAAATACAAATTCTATTAGTTTGTATCATTGGCATTTCCTAAGTTAAAAAGTACTCATGTGTGAACTGTTAACAGGAAATTTGGATTTAGAAATCAAATTGGAACCTATCTAGGACATAAAACAGCAAGATTACCTTTTTTTCCTTTTGTTTTAATGTAAATCACATTAACTACTGAGTTAAGAAAGTTTGTAGTATGTGATAAAAAATACTGAAATATCTTTAATGGATGCATTATTTCTGCAAGAAATAAACATATCTTCTGCACAGAGAATTTCCATCAAGACAAATGCTGTATCTGGGAATAGCAAGGTTTGTTTTTTCCTCAGCCAACTGCATTCATAAACAAAGTGTCTAGCTCTAAATTATAACAGGTTCCTGGTAGTAAAAGCTGTAGTTAAGCTCTAAAAGAAACAAAAGCAACCTGCCTTACCCACCATGATTGCATGCTATGTTCTGATGCCTCTAAGGCTGTGAAGCAGTTATCTTCAGGGCTAGGTTTTTCTTGGCCTCATTTTTACCACAGCAAGAAGAGAAATAATTTTCTTGTTTGTTTGGGTTTTTTTTAATGTTTTTAAATTCAAGCAAAAAAGTGATCCATGAAATATGAACCAAAAATGCTAAGACATGGAAAACATTGTGTGGTTTTGGATGTTTTTTTAAGGTCAGTTATATAGCAAAGGTGCTCCTTTAAAATTACAAAACAGGAAACCTGATATCCACTATAGCATTACATGGCATTATGCACAGCAAACTTAATGGATAATTCTTGAAATATTTTTGAAAAATAATATTTGGAACCTGATTCTACTGAAACACTAGAAGTGACAGTGAGAAGTCTCACTTACTGGAATTTGCAGAATAAGATTAAAAAAATACACTACAAATAACAGTCAATATGTCCCCTTTATTCTCTGGTGACTGCAATGAATTCAGAACACACTGAAACCAAGCTTGGATGATTTTTCATCAGTTTTCAAAGCAACAAGTCAAAAAAAGCTTTTCTTCTTCTTGTTCCTTTCTCTAATAAATACGCCTGTCATCAGAGGACATTATAAAAGCTTACAGTCTTTCTGGGATACAGACTACAGTACCTCCAGTGCTGTTTAAGCAAGTTTGATTCTCTAAACTACATTTTAAGACAAGAACTTCAATCTCTTACTGTATGAGATAGATGTAAATAGGGCAACAGTATATTTTTCTATTACACGGTACCAAAGCTGAAGATTAAAAAAAGCAATATATACAGGTGAAGTCTGAATAAGATAGCTCTTACAATAGAAGAACTGTCAGGCTAATATGGCATTCAAGCTAGGGTGCTATACCCTGCTTCTTGGGAATGCCTCTTAGGCAAGATGGAATGGCACTCTAGTACAGCATACTTCTTGCTTGTTTGTTAGCTTGCTCAGAACTGGTTTGGGGATGACTGTACAGTGCTGAATCGCGGCAGGCTGGGATAGCTGTTTATTCTGGTGATTTTGATAGGGTCTCGGGTTTAGTTCACGTTGCAGATTCTCAAACACTTTCTCATTGTGCTATAAGATGCATGTTCCCTCAACTTTAAAACAATTTTTTAATAAAGATTAACATACTTTGCAAGATACCATTAAAGACTACATAAACATAGTTCTTCAAAAAGACAATCTATTTTATCATTAAATGTGGCTAGATGGTCAAGGAATAATACATACAGACGTTTCCATGTACTTCAGAAGTAATGGGCAGAAATTTTAGGAGATGTGTTTTATCTACATATTCCCCTTTAACCTCCAGCACGAGTCAGCCTGCAGTACCCTGGAGCTCCACAGATTTCTAGCCTCCTAAATGATTATTCTAACGCTGCCTGGATATAGAGGAGCCTTGAAGACGGTTTATGCTTTTCTGAGAGGCAACTTACTTCCTTTCAAGAACTTTGAGAAAAGTGAAGTTGAAATGCTGGATCCGAAAGAATCCTGTATTTTTCTATGCAAAGTGTTCTCAGGCAGTTTCTGCAGGCTTCTAAAACGTGATTCATTATGCATTCCATTATTTATTTATGGGCTGAACCCCTTCCTCAACAGAACAAAAAGGTTAATAGAGTAGAGACATCCACCAATCCGTGAACACTGGGCTAAATGCAGAACTGCCTGGAACTTTTGCTACTGAGGTCTACAGGTGCAGAGCTTGAGTCATTAAGAGTAAGGAATAACTTTGTCAAATATAGCCATATGTGTTCAATTTTGTACATGGCCACATGAATATTCATGAAACCCCCCCCCTCTTTATATTAAAAGGTGGCACAGGTTACCAAAGAACATTTGTTACTACCTTAACTAGGGAATGCCAAACAACTACATGATGTACCATCACCACAGAAGTCTACCTCACACCTAAATAACAGCTTCAGCAGACTCACAATTTTTTTTGCTGATAGCCCTTGATCCCTTTTTATTACAACTGTTGCCCATCTGTCGTTTCTTATGATAATCTAGCATACTGTCACATTATCTTTTCCTCTGCTTTTTTCTTGCTAAATATCATGTAGAGGTAAAGAAGTTTTTACTTTCTTGCTTATGCATTTGTTTTGCAGAAGTGTCCCAGCTACAGTGTGCTAGGTAGCATATACATATGTAAGAAATATGGAGTTTGTTAAATATTCTGGTATCCTGAAGGGAATTACACAGTTTACATGAGTTCTTATACTCAGCCCTCCATTTCTCCCTATTCCCCTCAAACCTCTGTCCTCCAGAACCTCTTCTTGATTAATTTTCCAAATTATCTTCTTCATTAGCTTTGTAGGATTAAAGACAAATACCAGACCTATCTTCTTGTTGCTTTTTTGGGGTTAAGTCAGCTCTTTCAAGTTACCCAGCTCTAATTTTGTTTGACTAAATATGTATTTACTTTTTTTCAGGTGCTGCTAGCAAAGGCATTTGGAATGTGTGTTTCACAAAATTAAAAGGGACAGGGAGATAATCAGGAAGAGGAAAAAATTCCTGTGGGTTTTATGAGGTTTCTGTCATATGGGATTCGATTGTTTCTTTTTATCTATGTAATTTAATTGTTCAGAGTATTATACCTTGAAGCTGTTTTGTGAATCTTTAAGAATGAAAAAGATTTACATTGTTGGTGCTGTGTCTAATTAAAAGTGATTACAGTAATTTCCCTGGAGTGAACTAGTACTGTACACTGTTTCAAGGTCTTAACCAAGAGAAAAAACAAAGACAGAAAGGCACTTATTTTCCCCACAAAAGGTTATAAGTAAGAGTTCCTTATGGCCTACTTTTAACTAAGTAATATGGTGATTTTAGCCACAAATAACATAAGCTTGTTTAACTTACCAGGCTATTGAATCCCATAGCACCTAGAGCTTGTTTTAGTAGGGCTAATTTCTCCCTGTTCTGAGGGTTGGCTGTTACCATCGTCTCTTCCAGTACAGTCTGGCTTAGATACCTGCACAGAGGGAAAACAGCATATATAGTATTTACAAGGCTGGTGCACAATCAAACTTTTGAGGTTAAAAGCCAGCTTCACCCTTCTAACCAGAGGTTTATTACAGATTTTTCTCAGCCTTTGGAGGGAACAGTACCAGTGACAGAATGCTCTGTATTTCTTTCCTTAAACTTTTGCTTAAGGCTCCTCCCTGCCAACTTTAGCCATACATGTAAGCTAAAACTTCAGATTTAATTTATACCGCTGAGAGTTTTGCCATTCTTGCACTACCAGAGATTCCCCTTCACAAGGAAGATGTGAGGAGATCCTCTGATAACTCTGACTGCTTTAAATTCCCCTCCTGCTGGCTAGAGAATTGATCAGCTCTTATCTGCCTGATCCCATGATGATCATTCACTCCCTTAACAGCTGAATGGGTGACAGGTATACTCAGCATCTCTTAGAACAAAGTAGTAACTAAGTACATAGAGCAGTAAGTGTACAGCCCTTAAGCTGTACTACTTTGCACACTGTGAAGCAAAAGGAAATTTTACAAACCTTCCCAAAAATAATGATTAGAAGAGAGAGAGAGACACCTAGTGCAGCAGCTAATTCAGGAAAGAAAAAACAGAACCAACATAAAGAGTACTAACCCAAACCAGAATAATCAGAAACTATAGTACAACAGGTTATTGAAAAGAACAGTAATCTAACCTCTACAACAATGTATTTTGACTCTCTTTATATATGTCTATGGGTCAGATTTTTTAAAGTATTCGGGTAACTTCATACAGCTGAAATCACTGAGAATGAGGTGTCTGAATATCTTACGGGATCTGATTTTTAATTACATCGTGCTGAGAATGTAAAAAGATGTTTTCTTTTATCATTACCATTAAATTATCATTACCACTAAAATACACATTCATCACACAATCTACAATCTTCACAAAGGTCACTTACATCAACAAAAGAACTCCTCACACCTAAATCAAAATAACATCATCACAACACCAACAAAGGTGGACAATTTACACACACTCCACCCCTCATCCCTTCACCACAATTACAACAAAAGTTCCGCACAATTATTCTGCTCTCTAATAATGTTCGGTCCATGATCTGTCACATAAAGATAGGAAACAATACTGGTTTAATTTCTGACGATTCTTGTTCACAATCCTATTCTAATTGCACTATAGAGGAGACAGGGTTTCAAAATAAAACTATTGCCACAGAAAGTCTGGCAATGGTCTAGTAAGCATGATAGCTCTTGTAAAGGTGGCCTTTTATGTAAATGTGTTTAGCTTTTTGAAATACGTGGAAGAATGATTTAGTATTCTCACTTTTCTTACTGATAATGAGGTGTATGAGGTATATGGGATGAAATGCAGAGCGCATTTTTAGTGGATTGATACCAGATTTACCAGTGTGAATTTCCTTTGGAGTGATGGGAAAAAAAATGCATGCCTGGGTGCATAAGCACTTTTTGCGTGCACAGGAGAACTCACACAGCAGACGATCTCAAGTACAAACAAGCCTCAAATCACAGTGGCTAAAGCTGGTGAGTTAACACAGCTTTTGAGAACGTGGGTCTGTGAGCATCACTGCCAGAGCTCTGCACCATTTCCTTGAGGTTACCAAAAACATTAATTTTGTCCAACTCAGGTAGATACAAATGATAGCACAGCTGTGAAATTAGCTAGAGCAGATGATCAAAGTATATGCCAGATTTTTTTTTTTTTTTTTCTGGGAGTTTTTACATTGCCTGTATGTTTCAAAAGAAGGCTAGAATACTTCTGATACTGAATCTGGCATGGAACCTACTGGTATAAAGGTTAATCCAGGAGAAAATTTTCCACTGTTACGAACCGCTGCATGAGTTTATACCAGTTCAGTGTTGTGCATCATGTGTTGGTGGCATTTTTGATCCATAATTAGGAGATTTAGAGCAGCATCTACTCTGCTGTCAAAATATCCTATTGTTGAATGGCCGGAGGAGTTGGAAGCTTATGGCCATTTCTGCAAAAAAGCCTCCTCGCTGGTGTTCTCCCTGAATAACTCTTTGTCTCTCTCTCTGTGTACTGAGCAGGGAATACTCTTTCCTGTCCTGTGAAGGGAATATTGTATACTTCTCTTATTTAAGCAACCCCATTTAATTAGCTCTTTTTAGCATAGTTAAGGTGCTAGTTGGTATCGTCATAGTAAAAAGGTGGGCGAACGCTACTAACCCAGGTAGTGGCATAGCAAAGTGACCCAGAACACTCATTCCCTTGGAGGAAAGAGCTGAGCTGTGATACGAACCAACACGCGGCGGTTCTTGCCTTCAGCGCAAGCACTTCTTGCTGATACAGCAGGGGGCAAACTGGGTATCCGCCAAACCAGATGCCTGTGGCTCCAGCAACCCATCCATAAAGTGCAGCATCTGCCGGGACATGCCTGTTGGAAAAGAATCTGACTTTTCCCAGTATAAATCTCCTGAAGATTTAATCAGCAGATGTGTTGGTGCCCTTGGAAAAGGCTGCAGTTGGACATTTTCTAAGGTGCGCTTGAATTTAGAAGCAGTTTCCCCAGTCTAAAAGCAATTAAATTGTTTTATAACATGTCATGAGGCCCACTCATTTTCCAAACTATTTAAGGACTAATGAAATACGAAAACTGCTTTGAAGATATGCACATTCAACAGTTACGTGTTTATAATATAAAGTATATGCATATTAAGGATGGATTAATTGTATAGACTACTTGGAACTGTTGATGGATACCATACGACTTCTCCAAAATGCAGAAACTATAGTGTAACAGAGTAGGGGTATAATATATACTAGCTGTACAAGGAATTGCATTTTTTTAATTATTGTTAAGTTCATTCTACCTCAGAAACATAGTGACATTTAGATAGAAATATGAACAATTGTTTTTGCTTGTAAAACATTTCCCTGGCATCTCCTTCTTTCCATCTTAAAGGCCCTGAGGATGAAAAGGGCTCAAGACACCTTTTGTATTAATATTACTACTATCAACTATTTATGCTTAAGAACCAGAGTCCAGAACCAATCTTAAACTGTCGCCTCTCCTACAAAAATAAGGAAAGGGGAAAGAGATGTGTCACAGTGCAAAAGTCCTAATAATAATGAAACAGTCTTTTATTGCAGATACATCATTATTCCATAAAATGTAAAATTTTTTTCAATACGTATAGCTTTCCTCATATTTATAGTGCATTTTTGTCTTTTGACATTCAAGTGGCCTGGATAGAATTGCATTGCTAGTGATGAAGAAGGATTAAATTGCTTAAAATTTCCATTGTGAATCTACCATGGAGCTTTTAGTTACTATTTTTACTCAGATTTTTGTTACTGCAAACTATAGTGTTATAGCCATCATATTTATGAAAACCTATGCTGTTACTAGAGTGTGTGTAATGTTCCTATAAGTTTCCAACAAGGTAGTCTGTGTTCAAATACAAACCAGACCTAGTGACTCCTGAATCCTTTGTTGCTGAAAATTTTAGTAAAAGAGGTACTACTGCTATACAAGCCAGAGGTCATGTTCCATAATATCCAATGCATGCAGGCTGCACATCAATTGCAGACTTACTTATCATAGTTTTATTAGCCTTACTTGCATATCTCTGCATGCAAATTCATTCTGCACATGCACATTCACATTAGCTTACTGTAGCTTTACAAAAAGATTCTCAGACTTTGGCTGAAGTTGAGCCTTTTAGTTGAAGGTAGCTGCTCAGACAAAGATATTTATATCTCCAGTAAAACTGACAAACCAAACCGTGTATGCAGTTCTAATAATTAACTCCTTTCTGTCTAACCATTTGTTTAAATGCTACCATGTTGACATTTGCATTGGACTAGTACTCTCGACAGAGAGCTTATCAGCATACAAAAAAGTTCTAAGGACATGTGATCAGTGACTGTTTATTTCAAAAAAGAAATTTACTGATCCACAAAATGGGGTTCTTTTAAGAAGATAAACTAATCAATAATTGTAGTAGAGTATAGTCACTTTGAGTAAAACACTATGCTGCATTAGACACACAATTTCTTGAGAAATGTAAAAGAGACTATCTACATAGCTTTTTCTCCCTGGTTTTTCTTCTAACAGTTCTAATTTGCAGCATTGTAGCATTCTCATTTATTTTAGTCTCTCAAAGGGAAAAAAATGACTATTTAGAAGAAAAAAATCAATGGTGGTTATTTTTCAGTATATTGCTTATCATAGCATACAATTTTTCAACCATCATTTGAATGACATCATAGGTCAAATTTTCAGGTATGGTTGTGACTGGTGTGTCCAAGAATATAAAAAATACTTACTATGACAATAAATTCTTTATGTCATGTAAGTCAACAATTACCTTACCTGTTTACCTTACCATTTTCATTATAATTGTTACATATAATCATAATTTGTATTATTCAACCTATACCTGCAGTAAAGTTCATAATTTCATACATACATCTCAAATATGAAGGAGAAATACATAGGAACAAACGTCAGCTTACCAATACTGAATTTTTGTGGCATATGCATATTTCAAAATTTCTTACATAACCCGACTGGTTAAAAACTTTCTTTAAAGTAATATTGTCTGCTTAGATGACTGAGCAAATAACAAGGAGCTGAGACTAAAAAGAAAAGTTTTGACTATCTGTTTGCTGCTCTGCCAAAAACTCAGCAAAGCAATAGTTTATTTGGATTGAATTTAAATTCATTTATTTTGTTTTGAACAGCAACTCAATAACATTTAGTATCAAATGAAGTAATCTGTCTTATTCAACATAAACAAAACATGTCCTTTCATTTCCTTATAAGAAAAGCAAAGGAAATAAAAAGTAGGACTCACAAAATTATTACAGAAGATGAAAGTGTGTTTTTATTCTGTCTTTCCTATTAGAACTGTTACATTTTTATAAAATCTGTGACGAGATAAAAATAAAAAAGTTCCAAATTTGATAATTAGAGGATTTATTTGGGAAGATGGCACCCCTTTTCTGGTTACT